TCGTTGTTGTTTGGCAGGCCCGGGCTGGATTCGAACCCGCCACCTTAGGTGTATGTGGCTGGCGCCTTAGCCACTTGAGCCACAAGCACCGAGCCAGAAGCCAGCAGACTTGAAGCTGGCAGGTGACTGAGGCAACTGCTGCCTGGGAGCAGCCTGACCTCAGAGGAGCCTCTGGAGCCCTGAGCAGCAAGTGGGGATTGGCCTGGGGGTCCCCCAGGAGGGGCTGGCTTTAGATGGGTGCATGTAAAGTAGGTTTTGTTTTATTTTTAAGCAATGTGTCTGCCTTGAAGTGTTGGGAGAGACCAGTGTTTGCCCTTGAGTGTACCCATGTACGTGTCACTGTGTCACAGTTCTCAGGGGCAGGGTGACATTGACCCAGCACGCAGGGCTTCAGCTTGTCATAGACTTGCTCTGTGGCCTTGGACACGTCGCTTTCCCTCTCCGGGCCTTGGCTTCCATGTCTATAAAATAAAGGGCAGCTCTGATGGGTCTTCAGGGACTATGAGGGTCTGATTCTGGGGCTCTATGGCCTGCTAGCCCTTCAGGAGACCTTCTGCCTGCAGGAGGGAAACACAGCTCTTCACCTGGCTGCTGGCCGGGGCCACGTAGCCGTGCTGCAGCAACTGGTGGACATCGGGCTGGACCTAGAGGAACAGAATGTGGTGAGTCACTATCTGGGGTATGCAGAGATGAGCAACATTCTTGCCCCCTGCCTTTGAGGAAGCCCCAGTCCCTGGTACAATGGGGCCAGGAAACAGAGGACATGTGCTCGGACTGACAGTCCACTGGGAAAGATGAGCAGTGGCACAGCACTACAGGCTTAGTGGGGATGCTAGGCACAATGGAGTGGCAAGAAGGGGACCTGGAGTGCGTGTTCAAAGAGGGGAGGAGTTGCCAGGGCCAGGGTAGTCAGGGAAGCGCGCTGGAATAGGAAGGAATAGACGAGGAGGGCCGATACAGCCTAACACACAAGGACAGGGTGAGCAGACAGGGGGCAGGGAGCGACTGTGCTTATGTGCACACCACAAAGCAAGGACATCAGGAGACCACAGACAAGCATGTTTCTTGTCCTCAGTAGCAGGGAAGTGGAGATTCTAGGAGCCCTGGGGCCATGGCATACAGGGTGTCCTCTTACCTCGGGGCTGGGGTCACCTCACTCATCCTCCCGCCATCCTCATCCCTCTCCCTGTGTGTTGCAGGAAGGCCTGACCGCTCTCCACGCGGCTGCTGAAGGGACCCACCCTGACTGTGTTCAGCTCCTCCTCAGGGCTGGGAGCAACGTGAATGCCCTTACCCAGGTAGCCAGGCCTCCTGGACTGCAGCCTACCCTAGGCTGCTTAGCCATGACTGTGCCAACAGCACCGGCCACAGTCATTCCTGACTTTAGGGCAGCAGGCCGGGACCTGATCTTGGCTTTTCCACTGCTGGCCTGTGACCTTAGGCAAGTTCCTTAACCTTTCTGTGCCTCGTTTTCTGACTATAAAATGGGATGATATGTGCTTACTTCCTTATATTTCTGTGAGAATCAAATACCTAGCACAGTACTCTCCTGTTTTTGGGCTCTTGATAATTCACAAAGCCCCTTTGTAACTAGTAACTCAGAAAAATTGTGCCCGTTTTATAGATTAGAAAACTGAAGCTCAGAGAGGACTTTCTCAGGGCCACAAGTTAGTAAGAAGCAAATCCTGTAGGCTTGGAGCCTATGGCTCAAGTGGCTAAGGCACCAGCCACATATGCCTAAGGTGGTGGGTTCGAATCCAGCCCGGGCCCGCCAAACAACAATGATGGTTGCAACCAAAAAAAAAAAAATAGCCAGGCGTTGTGGCGGGCACATGTGGTCCCAGCTACTTGGGAGGTGGAGGCAGGAGACTCGCTTGAGCCCAGGAGTTAGAGGTTGCTGTGAGATGTGATGCCATGGCCCTCTACCCAAGGGGACAGCTTGAGGCTCTGTCTCAAAAAAAAAAAAGAGAAGCAAAGCCTGTGACTCAAAAGCCTATTCCCCTAACTCCAGAGCTCTGCCCACTCATGGGCTTGTGCTCTGACCTGGAGGCCCAGCCGTGTGTGGCTATACAGTCCACACAGCGGGGGGGCTTGGGCGTGCCTCACTTTTGCCAGTAGAAATTCTTTTCCATGACCTGGAAAATGGGTGTGGCCTTTCTTTAGATAAAGAGTTGGCGTTTTTGTTTTGCTTTTTATTTTCAAATCAGTGACAAGTAACTTTTTTTGGCTGGTTGAATGACTTCAGGGTCTAGAATTCTCTCTTTTTTCCTAAATGTTAATAATATAGCCAACATATTAATAATAAATAATGAAATATAAGTCATAATAGCAAAAATATACATGTAGTTAATAAAAAGAAGAATTACTGTGGTATGCTAAAACATATTTATTTTGCTTCAGCTGGGAATGTCTCAAAGGATCTAGTTCTCATGAATTCTCCCAGAAGAGAGAGAATCTCTCCTCTTCCCATAAGTAGCCTGAGCTGATGTATGAAAATGGTTTGCTACTCTCTTGATCAAGAAAATCCCACAAAATCACTTAGACCAAGAGGTCTAAATCTTCGTGCTTGCTTTAAGAACACCCGTGAAACTGCCCAGGCCATGAAGGTTATGCATATCCAAAAAGCCACCAAGTATCTGAAAGATGTCACTTTGCTGAAGTGATGTGTGCCATTCCGTCCTTGGAGTGGTGGAGTTGGTGGGTGTGCTTGGGCCAAACAGTGGGGCTGGACACAGGGTTAGTGGCCCAAAAAGAATACTGATTTTTTTTTATTAATACATAATAATTGTACATATTTATGGGGTACATATAATATTTTATACACATATACAATGTGTTGATCAAAGCAGAGTAATTAAAACATCATCACCTCAAACATTTATCATTTCTTCATGTTAGGAATATTCTAAATCTTGTCTTCTAGCTACTTTGAAATACAGTGTCATCACCCTACCGTGCCATTGAACACTAGAACTTAGTCTTTTTCTTAACTGTGCTTTTGTACCCATAGACCAACCTCTCTTCGTCCCTCCCAATCCGCTCCACCAAGAGGGCTGAATTTTCACTACACATGCTTAGAAATGTAGAGAGTAATCCTGAACGTAGGGTTTTGGTGCAGATTATCTGGTCACCGAGCACATTGTGGTGGACAGGGTACCCAAGATGCCTCACGCAGCTGGCTCATGGTGAGATTAACCCAGACATGAGCCCCCACTCTCCGTGGAGGTGGTCCTTACTGAATAGGAATTGTACCTACACCAGAAGAGGAGGTTGCACAGAAGAAAAAGATATCCTAGAAGAGATAGAGGAAACAAAAACTGATAGCCCCAGAACAAACTCAGTTATCAAATAAATGCAAATAAAGGTAAAAACAATTATTTAATGTAAAAGCAGCTACTCAGTGAGAAACAGAAGAATGAAAAAGATGGCTCGGTGTCTGTAGCTCAAGCAGCTAAGGTGCCAGCCACATACACCAGAACTGGCGGGTTTGTATCCAGCCCGGGCCTGCTAAATAGCAATGACAACTACAACCACAAAATGGCTGGGTGGTGTGGTGGGTGCCTGTAGTCCCAGCTACTTGGGAAGCTGAGGCTTCCCAAGCAATTCCCTGAATTGCTTAAGCCCAGGAGTTGGAGGTTGCTGTGAGCTGTGATGCCATAGCACTCTACCCAGGGCAACAGCTTGAGGCTATGTCTCAAAAAAGAAGAAAGAAAAAAGAATGAAAAAGATAAGAGATACACAGAAAATAAATAGCAAAATGGCAAATGTAAATTCAATAATAATATCAGTATTACATGGGAATGATGCTTTATGACCACCAAAGACTTAATCTGTGAACTCCCCTGAGGAGTATGGGAGCTACTACCCCTGGAGAGTGGAGGGATAGGGAGGCCTGGAGAGAGGGCCCAGCCAGTGTCCTATCATTGGCACCGTGTTGTACTTTGGTCACCAAGCCCTTTATGTGTGCCCGGCACAGTGCTGCATTTTGAAGGGAGGGCAAAAGCAGTGAGATGACGTGGCCACCTCCCCTACAGTAGCAGTTAGGAATCCAGAGACTGGGGAAGCTGAGTCCAGCTGGATGGCCACAGGGGGCACTGGCTTGAGGTTTCTGAAAGAGGTCACATTCTATTCCCATATTCCCATCCCACCTCTCCCAGAATGTCAGGTGCCAGTTCTCTGAGGAGGGGACAAGCCCACAGTGACCACATTTCCCACGTGGAGGTGGACTGAGTCCCACTCCCCCCATGCCCTTGCTCAGTGGGGACTTTGGTAGAGTGGCCAACTTGTCCTGGTCTGCTCCATACTATCCTGATTTTGAAGCTGAAAGTTTGAGGCCCCCGGGACACTTCAGTCCTGGGCAGACTAGGACAGCTGGTCACCCTTCTGGGGCCCGCCTGGGGTATATCCTGTGCACAGTGATGGTTGAGCCAGGCCAGGCTCTGAATAAGGAGTGTACTTTGCAGGCCACCCGAGATCAGCTCCATTCCTGTCCTGCCAGGCTCTTGCTTGGGAGTGCTGAGACCAGCCTGTGCCAGGCAGTGCATGCCAGATGGGGTTTGTCCTATATTGGCAAATCTTATTTGCCTTCCTTAACTTTTTAAACAGGGGGCCAGTTCACTGTCCGTCAGACCATTGGAGGGCCAGACTGCGGCCCCAGGATGAGTGGGCTGCTAAGCAGAATAGGCAGCAGCGGCAAAAACACCCGGTGGGCCGGATAAATGTCCTAAGCAGGCCGCATGTGGCCCATGGGCCATAGTTTGAGGACGCCTGGTCTATAATCTGCATGTCTTTACCAGCCTAGGAATTTGGCAGGCTTTGGTCCACATTCTGGAGTTTGTGATGAAGGTGAGGAAGAGGCAGAGACCATAGTGAGTTCCTTTCACTAATTACCAGGTCTGAGCAAGCTGTTGATTTCTCCAGCCTCAGAGTTTAATGGGGGATAATAACGGTCCCAGGGGGGTTGTGAAACTCACATGGGAAAATGATCCCAAAGAGCTTTATAAACGACACGAGGAGGGTCTTTGTGACCTCTCACTGCTGCCTTATTCTCTCTAGAAAAAGCTGAGCTGTCTCCACTACGCGGCCCTCAGTGGCTCTGAGGACCTGTGTCGGGCCCTCATCCTCGCAGGCGGCTGCACCAATGTGGCTAATCACGTAAGTGTGGTAAGTGCCCTGATTGAAGGGCATCCCCACTGCAAAGTTAAAGCACTTGGGGTGGGGCAACAGGAACTTCCAGCCCTTCATGTTGGCTGGGGGCCAGGACCAGGGGAGCAGGCCAGGAGATGAGTAGATATTATCAATGTCCACATCCTGGTGGAATATTGTACTGTTGTTTTTGTTAGGGCATAACCACTGGGAAAATTGGGTGAAGGATACACCAGGTCTCTCTAGTGTAAATGAATAAAATCATTTTATTCTTTATTTATTTATTACAGAGTCTTGCTCTGTTGTCCCAGCTAGTGTGCAATAGTGCCATCATAGCTCATTGCAACTCAAACTTCTAGACTCAAGTGATCCTCCTGCCTCAACCTCCTGAGTAGCTGCGACTATATAGATGGGCGTTATCACACCCAGCTAGTTTTTGTATTTTTGGTCTTATCTTTGGCTCAGGGTGGTCTGGAACTCCTGACCTTAAGTGATTCTCCTACCTTGGCCTCATGGAGTGCTAGGATTACAGATGTGAGCCATCGTGCCCAGCCTAGATCTCTCAATATTATTTCTTAACTTCAGGTGAATCTATAATTATCTCAAAATAAAAATTTAAATGAAAAAAGGTCTTGCTGGGCAGCGCCTGTGGCTCAGTGGGGAGGGCGCAGGCCCCATATACTGAGGGTGTCGGGTTTGAACCCGGCCCAGGCCAAACTACAACAAAAAAATAGCCAGGCATTGTGGTGGGCGCCTATAGTCCCAGCTACTCGGGAGGCTGAGGCAAGAAAATCTCCTACGCTCAGGAGTTGGAGGTTGCTGTGAGCTGTGTGAGGCCAGGGCTCTCGACTGAGGGTGATAAGTTGAGACTCCGTCTCTACCAAAAAAAAAAAGGTCTTGCTTGTATGTATATATATTACATAATCTCTGGAAGGGTACACATAGGTCATAGGCAGTAGCAGTGGCTGGGGAGCAGGGAGAACTGAGCAGATGGGTGATGAAGAGAGAAGATGACTTTTCACTAGGTACTTTTGGTTTTCTTAGTTCCTTTGGTTTTTATACATAAAATTTAAAACACTTAAAAGCAATACTTGCTCTCTAACCATTCCCCTTTCCCACCACATTCTCCCAAACCTCTAGAAGACTGAGGTCACCTCCAGCATATTTGGCTATTGTGTCTCCATAGCTGCTGCTTCCTGGAAAGCTGCTGTTATTGCCACTGGGGGTTTCAAGGTGCATCAGCCTGATGCACTGAGCCCCTTTCCTTGCCTCAGCCCAGTCACTGTCACAGCAGGCCTTCCGTTGGCCTGATGCTGAACTCACATTTATCTGGCAGTGATCTGAGGACAATGATGAAATTCCATGGCAGTTTTACCTGGGTTTTAAAATTTTTTTCTAGAAGTATTTCCAAAAACTTTGGGACATTTATTTGGCATTTGGTTTTGAGGTCACATTAAAGATGTAAATAACAGACAATGGCTATCTTTATACAGGGAGTCCCCAGGTTATGAATGAGAGAGGCCCTGTAGGTTTGTTCTTTAAGTTGAATTTGTATGTAAGTTGGAACAGGTACATTTACCTGTTACCTGTAATAACGTCTGTTCATAAGTACCAGTCATCTATTAGTCAGAGGTTTATAACTTGGGGATTTACTATACTGGCCCCCATTATAAATGTAAGTTGTATGTTAAGTTGGATGCTTGTAACTTGGGGACTGCCTGTAGTATCTGATCATTTCACTGGGAACATGATGTCTTGCCTTTTTTTAATGTGTTTTTTTATATCCCTCAGTAATATTATATAGCTTTTGGTTTGCCTTTGATCCATTTCTAGTTATACTTTTTAGATATACTTCATATTTTTTGGCTATCATTGTGATTAGAATATATTTTTAGGCTCGGCGCCTGTGGCTCAAGCGGCTAAGGCGCCAGCCACATACACCTAGGGTGGCGGGTTCGAATCCCCAGCCCGGGCCTGCCAAAACAACAATGATGGCTGCAACCAAAAAATGGCCAGGCGTTGTGGTGGGCGCCTGTAGTCCCAGCTACTTGGGAGGCTGAGGCAGGAGACTCGCTTGAGCCCAGGAGTTGGAGGTTGCTGTGAGCGTGATGCCATGGCACTCTACCCAGGGGAATAGCTTGAGGCTCCATCTCAAAAAAAAAAAAAAGAATATATTTTTAAAATTGTATGTCATGACTGGGCATGGTGGCATGTGCCTGTAGTTTGACCTACTTGGGAGGCTGAGGTAGGAGGATTACTTGAGCCTTGGAGTTAGAGGCTGCAGTGAGCTATGATTGTGCCACTGTACTCTAGCCTGGCTGACAGAATGAGACTCTATCTCAAAAAAGAAGCAAAAAATGGCTGGGCACAGTGGCTCACACTTGTAATCTTAGCACCTTGGGAGGCCGAGGTAAGAGGATGGCTTGAGGCCAGGAGTTCAATTCCAGCCTGGGCAAGATTGAGACCTCTGTCTCTACAAAAAATTAGAAAATTAGCCAGGCTATGATGGTGCCACACCACTCTAGCCCAGATAACAGAGCAAGACCCTGTCTCAAAAAAATTATATGTCATTTCTTGTAGGCATTCTATATAGGAATGCTATTGAATGGTATTTTTATCTTCTATGTGACTTTCTTCTACTAGGGTTTTTTGGTGGGGCAGGATGTCTTAGTCATTATGTGTTGCTATAACTTAATGCTACAATAGATATTTATTTAGCTCATGGTTCTGGAGACTGTGAAGTCCAAGAGCATGGCACCAACATCTGGTGAGGGCCTTTTATAACTCAATATGTGAGCGTGTTTTTCCACAATAAGCATTGAGCTCTCCCATTTCATGTATTGGCTTTGTACTGTTCCACAGTATGTGTGTCACTATATCATCTAGAGAGGGGGAATGCTGTGCCAGTATCTCCACTTTGTCATTTAGTCCAAGGGCCACAGCAGAACATTGGGGCTGGTGTCTTCCAATCTTGAGAGGGAGTTAGACTTGGAGTGGGATCTCTTTTCTGATCCCAGCTGGCTCTCTCATTCATTCACTTCCTATGTAGGTATCAGGGGTGGGAAGATATAGGGTGAATAGAAAATCCAAAAGGACATGGTTCCTATTAGTTATGTGTCTTTGGGCAGGTTGCTTTTCTGAACCTCAGTGTTTCTGTTGGTAAAATGAAGATACTAATAAGAATACCAGGGCCAGGTGTGGTGGCTCATGCCTATAATCCCAGCACTCTGGGAGCCTGAGGTGGGTAGACTGCTTGATCTCAGGACCAGCCTTGATCTCAAGACCAGCCTGAGCAAGAATGAGACCCCATCTTTACTAAAAAAAAAAAAAAAAGTTGCGGGTGGTGCCTGTGGCTCAAAGGAGTAGGGTGCCTGCCCCATATGCTGGAGGTGGTTGGGTTCAAACCCAGCCCCAGCCAAAAACTGCAAAAAAAAAAATAAAGTTGTAAAAAACAAATTAAAAAACTAGCCAGGCATTGTGGTGGGCACCTATAGTCCCAGCTACTCAAGAGGCTGAGGCAAAAGGATTACTAAGCCCAAGAGTTTGAGGTTGCTGTAAGCTATGGCACCACAGCACTCTAGCCAGTGTGACAGTGAGACTCTGTCCCCATCTCCAAAAAAAGGAATACCAACCCATATACTTCCTAGGGGCTGCGGTGTAGATTAAATGAGATATCAGGGAATCTAAGGTGTTGGTGCTAGAAGGGAACTTGGCAAACATCACTTGCTAAATGAAGAGTAGCAGAGGAAGGGAAATGACTTGCCCAAGGCCACACAGAGTGGGTTCCTGACATAGCAGGGTTTCACATTGGGTCTTAAGACCTCCAGCCACCTTCAGGACCAGTTTTCGGCTCCACGAACTCAGGCTTTGGGACTGTAACTGAACCAAACCCACCCATGTTGTCCAAGAAGCTAGAAAAGCCAAACCCAGAAGCCCTATACACCTCCCTGCTCCCAGCCCCCAGCACAGCCTGCAGTGGGGTAGTTCTGGGAGGGACCTCTCAGTTGATCATGTGTCTCCCCTCACAGCAGGGCACTTCTCCTCTGCACCTCGCTGTGAGGCACAACTTTCCTGCCTTGGTCCAGCTCTTCATCAATGCCCACAGTGACTTGGATGCCACCGACAATGTAAGTGGCTACAGAAATCTTCTGGGCCCCGGGGAGCCTCTGGGCACCTTCCCAGGCTGGCAGGGTTTGTCTGTGGTCCTCCTAGCATGGCTCAGAGTCAAGGAAAAGCTTTTTTAGCCTTAGAAACATTTATTTGAACATTTGTTGAAGGTAACATCCTTTTAATAACTTTACTCAAATAAATGTTCACTTTATTTTGAACTTTATTCAAAACAAATGTTCATTTTGAACTTTATCCAAAACATTTTGAACATTTTGGTTGTTCCCAAGGTTTTGCCGTGATATATATAAAACACTGCAGTGAACATTTTCCTACAGTCAACCTTTTCCTTTCATTGCTTTTTTCCCTTAGGGAAAATCCCCAGGGCAGGAGTGACTGGGGCAATCTTGTGTAATAGGAGTGCTCTGAGTCCTGAAACTCTGATCAATAAGGAGCCCTTTTAACACATTAACTGCTATGTGAGCTGTATGTAACTATCTGGTTTTGAGCCCAGGGCCTTGTGAAGCATATATAATTCACAAGTCTCTTGACCTATCTTAACCTAAAAGAACACTGTGGCCCCAAGGAAAAAAAATTTTTTTCCAGTGTAATATCAGTATATTAAATTTCATTTCCATAATCTGCCCCCAACCACGTAATACCCAGTGCTGGCTAAAGGCATGGCACGTTGAACTGCTGGAGGTGGAAAGCAATTTGGCAGACTCTATCATATGCCTTTAAAATGTCTGCAGTTGCATGTCTGGGAACTGAGCCTCAAGAAATACGTCAGGTAGGGCAGTGCCTGTGGCTCAGTGAGTAGGGCACCAGCCCCATATACCGAGGGTGGCAGGTTCAAACCTGGCCCCAGCCAAACTGCAACAACAAAAAAAATAGCTGAGTGTTGTGGCAGGTGCCTGTGGTCCCAGCTATTCAGGAGGCTAAAGCAAGAGAATCACCTAAGCCCAGGATCTGGAAGTTGCTGTGAGCTGTGATGCCACAGTGCTCTACTGAGGGTGACAAAGTGAGACTCTGTCTCAAAAAAAAAAAAAAAAAGAAAAGAAAAAAGAAAGGCCAGGCATGATAGCTCACATCTGTAATTCGCACTTTGGGACACTGAAGCAGAAGTATCACTTGAGGCCAGGAGTTTGAGAACAGCCTGGGCAATATAGTGAGACCTATACAAATAAAAATAAGGCGGCTCACACCTGTAATCCCAGCACTCTGGGAGGCTGAAGTGGGTGGATTGCCTGAATTCAGGAGTTTGAGACCAGCCTAAACAAGAGTGAGACCCCATCGCTATTAAAAAATAGAAAAATTAGCCAGGTGTGGTGGCACACACCTATAGTGCCAGCTTCTCAGGAGGCTGAGACAAGAGAATTGCTTGAGCCCAGGAGTTTGAGGTTGTTATGAGCTAGGACGCCACAGCACTCTACTGAGGGCAACAGAGTTCGGTTTTTTCTGAAAAAAAAAAAAACCAAATAAACAAATAATACAAAATAAATTAGCCAGGCATGGTGGCACATGCCTGTAGTCTCAGGTACTTGGGAGTCTGAGGTGGGAGAATCACCAGAGCCCAGGCGTTTAAGCCTTCAGTGACCTGTCATCAGGCCACTGAACCCAGCCTGGGCGACAGAGTGAGACTGTTTCTAAAACCAAAAAAATAAAATAAAATAAAATAAATAAAAAAGGAAGGAGGAAAGAAATATAGTAAAAGCTCATGCACAGAGATATTCCTTATAGCATTGTTTATCAGTCCTCAATTTTTTTTTTTTTTTTTGCAGTTTTTGGCTGGGGTGGGTTTGAACCCGCCGCCTCCGGCATATAGGGCCAGTGCCCTACTCCTTTGAGCCACAGGTGCTGCCCCCTCAATTTGATAGTGACTCAAATACTTAATAATAGGGAGGGGTTAGGGAAATCATGGTCCAGCCCCAAATAGGCTGTTACGGATTTATTAAAAATTGTGTTTATCAGAGTTGATCATATGTGAAAAGTGTTATATTAGGTAGAAAAAGAAGATGATAAAATCATGTGCTGGATGATCTAAAATATGTAAAACCAACAAACTAAAGACATTCTCCATTAAAGAAAAGATTAGAAGAAATATACCAGCATTGAAATGGGGGTTGATTTAGGGTGATGGGCTAGTGAATTTTTTTCTCTTCTTTCCATTTTTTCTTTTTACCAAGTTTTCCCTGGTGAATACTGTATTTATGACTAAACCCTGGCTTTGAGCTGTGAGCCACCCCTACCTGCTTTTCTCCTCACTGTCCCCTTGGCTTCTTCCCCAGAGGCAGCAGACGCCCCTTCACTTGGCCGCTGAGCATGCCTGGCAAGACATAGCAGAGATGCTGCTTGTGGCTGGGGTCGATTTAACCCTGCGGGATAAGGTACCTCTGCTAGCAACCAACCTCCTTTCATCCCTCCCTCTCTTTCACTGCCAAAGACCCTGCTATGAAAGTCTCCGCCCAGCCCCTTCTCAGGGTGTTCAAGGACTCTCATCCTTTATGTAACAGTTCAAATGCAGCCGCCAGGAAGTCTCCTTCCCTTCTACCACCTCCTCCCTCTCTACTGTGGCCCACCCCTCTCTTGGCTTAGTCCTGTGATTTGGTTGCTCTATGTTTCATGGCCCTCATCAGACTGAGCTCCTTGAGTCTCCTAGTGACAGTGAGGGGGAGTAGGAGAAGAGGGCCACGTCGTCACCCAACAACCCCCTACATGTGGGACAAAGTTTGGGAAGCTTCTGAGCTCATTGTGCCTCTAGACCTTAGATGCTGGAGGTCTCAGAAGAGCCAAACACTCAGTGTGAGGCTGGGAGGCCACAAGGGGAAGAGCCCACGGGGGAGGAGAACTTGCACATAGGATTTAGCAAGGCTGGCCTGGGATAGGAGTGGGGGAAGTTGGAGGCCAGAATCAGGCCCTGAGGCTGGATCAGGGATGGGAGGGGGGCCCTGATTTCAGCTGGGTCTCAGGACAGCTGGCCAGCCTTGAAGAGGAGCTTCCCATCTCACTGCAGGTCCCTGGAGCCAGGCAACCGGAACATGATGAGCCCAGGCCTCCTTCCCTGGGTTCTAGTTTCTTCTGAAAACTGGGGTGGAACCGCTATCTCATGGGTGATGTTGAAGAGTTAACAATGAAGGCTGAGTTTCATAAGCTCCAAAGCTTTCTGAATTCTTTTTTTTTTTTTTTTTTTTTAGACAGAGCCTCAAGCTGTCCCCCTGGGTAGAGTGCCGTGGCATTACAGCTCACAGCAACCTCCAACTCCTGGGCTCAAGCGAGTCTCCTGCCTCCGCCTCCCAAGTAGCTGGGACTACAGGCACCCGCCACAACGCCCGGCTATTTTTTGGTTGCAGCCGTCATTGTTGTTTGGCGGGTCCGGGCTGGAGATTCGAACCCGCCACCTTAGGTGTACGTGGCTGGCGCCTTAGCCAGTTGAGCTATAGGCGCCGAGCCAGCTTTCTGAATTCTAAAGAAACACAAGAGGGGGCAGCACCTGTGGCTCAGTGGGTATGGTGCTGGCCTCATGTATAGAGGGTGGCGAGTTCAAACCCAGCCCTGGCCAAACTGCAACAACAACAAAAAGAAACACAAGAGGTTTGTTAGTATTACATATTACATATTATTACATATTATTTCCTTATCTTACCTACGACTTTTCCATATCCCTGGCATGCCTAGAAAACCAGAAGACCTTTCTATTCTCCTGTGTAGACTGCTAGAAACTGCTTCCTTTGGGCAGAAGTGTTTGCACTCAGTGCTAGAGGCCACCCTGTAGCCCTCCTGTAGAAACTCTGGCTTCATTTCTTGCTTCTTAATTATAGCAAGGAAAAACTGTCCTGGCAGTGGCCGCCCGCAGCAACCATGTCAGCCTGGTGGACATGATCATAAAAGCTGACCGTTTCTACAGATGGGAGAAGGTATGGAGGCCCCACGCTTGGTCTGTCCATGTTAGAAGCCTTGGCTTCAGGTGTGGCTGCGTTTGAACTCCAGCTCTGACCAATTCTGGGCCCTCTCACTTTGCAGTGGGTGATAATCCCCACCCTGTCTACCACCAGGGTTGTTCTGTGAGGATCTAGAGGTGGACAAGCAGCCAGACACTCTGAAACAAGGCAGACTGAGGTCCACGCCAGTGTGGAGAGGCTATTGGACACTGCTGTAGCTCCCAGCATGGATGTGCGTGTACATGAATGCATAGATGCATGTGCGAATAAAGAGATGGCAGTTGGTCACATCTCACTGCCATCTCCAGGTGATTAGAACCGTTGCTTGGGGTGTTGTGCTCAGGCAACTCTCTGAGCCCAGAGAGGTGTGATGGGATCGATTAGCCATGTCTGCTGTGGACTTGGGAAGGGAAAGTGGCAGGCAGCATGTCAGGCTATGCATTTGCTCTTCTAGTCAGCAAATGGTGGTGGGGAGTTTTTGATGTTCTTGAGAGTTGTTTGTATACACAAAAAATAATTTTTACATTTATTTCAATTTTCAAAATTAATACAGATGGTCCGCGACTTAACAAACGATGGTTTGGCTTGCAGTTTTTCTGCTTTTCAATGGTGTGAGTGATACACATTCAGTAGAGGCCATACTTTGAGTACCCGTACAGCCATGCTGTTTTTCACTTTCAGCATAGTCTACAGATTGCATGAGATATTCGACATTTGATTATAAAATAGGCTTTGTGTATTTGTGTATCCCCCAGGATGGCTGGGACTACAGGTGCCCACCACAATGCCCAGATATTTTTCAAGATGAGGTGTCACTCTGGCTCAGGCTGGTCTGGAACTCCTGAGCTCAGGCAATCCACCTGCCTTGGCCTCCCAGAGTGCTAAGATTACAGGCGTGAGCCACTGCACCCGGCCTAGGGAACAGTTTTTAACATCCCAGATGAGAGCAAAGCTTCACCTCACAGGTGAAGGGACTGTTGATCAGGAAGTAAGATTTGGAATTGTAGATGCCACGGTGATGTTTTTTCACCCCAAACTTTTTAACAATCAGAATTCCACATCCATTCCCATATTTATTTATTTAATTTTATTTTTTTCAAGACAAAGTTTATTGAGGAAGAGAAAGGTTTATAGAGTAAGAGCAAGATAGAGGCTTACAGAGCAAGATACAATCACCATAGATGGGGTCTCCATTGCTAGGGCAAGTAGGTAAAAAGACAAAGAGGCCATCCATTCCCTTAGAGGGGCTTAGGCTTTTTGTGACTTAATTTATGCTGTTACATAATTCTTTTGTAACCTCTAATTTTAGCACCTGCCTCACATAGAAAGGATTCTGGAATCTCATCCTTTACTACTTGTTGGGACTCAGCAAACTTGATTCTGTCTGGTTTTGTCCAAAGCTTCGGAGTTATTTGCTGATACCCGTGCCATAAGAACACAGAGAAAGAGTCCGGCCACGGTGGCTCACGCCTGTAATCCTAGCAGTCTGGGAGGCCGAGGCGGGTGGATTGCTTGAGCTCAGTAGTTGGAGACCAGCCTGAGCATGAACAAGACCCTGTCTCTAAAAATAGCCAGGCATAGTGGTGGGTTTCTGTTGTCCCAGCTACTTGAGAGGTTGAGGCAAGAAGATCACTTGAGCCCAAGAGTTTGAGGTTGCTGTGAGCTATGATGCCATGGCACTCTACCAAGGGTGACAGAATGAGACCCTGTCTCAAAAGAGCTAACCAACAAACAAAAAAGAACACAGAGAAAGGCAAAAAGACCAGATAGATGAATTTGGAAAGGCTTCCTGGAAAACATGGCACATGTGTAGTCTTTTGATTATGAAAATGAGGTTGAGGCTCGGCACCTGTGCCTCAAGCGGCTAAGGCGCCAGCCACATACACCTAAGGTGGCGGGTTCGAATCCCCAGCCCGGGCCCACCAAACAACAATGATGGCTGCAACCAAAAAATGGCCAGGCGCTGTGGCGGGCGCCTGTAGTCCCAGCTACTTGGGAGGCGGAGGCAGGAGACTCACTTGAGCCCAGGAGTTGGAGGTTGCTGTGAGCTGTGATGCCATGGCACTCTACCCAGGGGGATAGCTTGAGGCTCTGTCTTAAAAAAAAAAAAAAAAATGAAAATGAGGTTGAGGGGCTGGGAGGTGAGAATACCATTCTAGGTGGAAGAACAAGTGGGAGCAACGTGGGTTCCAGAGACCAAGGCAAAGCCTGGAGTCAGAAATCAGAACAGTGGACATTAGTTGTATACTTAGTATTCAATTATATATATATAATTGTAAACACAGGAAGTCCAGAGGAATCAACCCAAGCCCATGCTGACTCCAGTCCCAGGCCCCCCAGAGGTGGGTGTAGGGTAATAGGGGCCTTGGCCCCCTCATTGCCCCTGTCCAGGACTGTGAGCAAGAACGCCTGCACTTCTGGGATCTGCTCCACAGGACCACCTTTCATGCAGGGACTCCAGTGACCCCTCTGGGAAGAGCTTGACCTTTAAGCAGGACCATCGGCAGGAAACACAGCAGCTCCGCTCTGTGCTGTGGCAACTGGCCTCCAAGTATCTGCGGCCCCACGAGTGGAAGAAGCTTGCCTATTACTGGGAGTTCACTGAGGACCATGTTTATGCCATAGAGCAACAGTGGACAGGTACTGCCTTGTGTTTCCCCACTCCAGAGCAACCAGAGGGCAGAGGAGTGGGGGTACTTGGGGTGTATTCAGTTTTCTACGCTTCTGGGAAAGAGGCCACACTCAAACCCGTGTAACCCACAGCCCAGCCACACCCTGCTTCCCTGTGCTCTGTCACTCCACCAGGTTTTTGCACAGGCTGGATGCTCTGCCTCTCCTGCCCCCTTGCCCTGTGAATTTCATGTTTTTCCATTTCAATCAGCCTGAATGAATCCAACATTTACATAAACTAAAGCCATTTCCAATAAAAAGAACAGGGCCCACTGTCATCACTATTATTTAACATCTATTTGAACATTTGAGCTCTAGCACTAAGGCAGGAAAAAGAAATTAAAATAATGAGTGTAAAAAATAGAAAGGAAGGCTCGGCGCCTATAGCTCAACCGGCTAAGGCGCCAGCCACGTACACCTAAGGTGGCGGGTTCG